TTTCCCTGGGAAGCCATGAAAGTCCCCATGCTGTAGCTGTGTCCTACATCCTTTGCTTCCAGGTTGGTGTTTTGTTTTTTGTTTTTTTTTGTATTTTGTTTGTATTCAGTTATTTGTATTGTTTTCTTTCTCCCAGATCACCATGGTATGGATTCATATCCCTGTCCTTTTCTTTATTTCTGATTTCCCTATCCTGTGTCACTTGTAGGTTCTGTTTGTTACGTTCAGGTTAAATTAGAAGTCACAGAACCCTTCCTCTTCTTTATACCTTGCATCTTTGTCTGTTTGCTGCTGCTCATGCAGGTGACTTTATTAACTTATCCACAGTGAGTTTCAGTCACTTTCATCAGTAGCCATGGTCTCATTAGTACCACCGGTACAGAGAAATTACTTGCTTCGTTGTGCATTCTTTTGTGGTTGTTCAGTATTGCCGCTCAGCTGCTAGCATGCAGCTCCATCAGCAAACTTGGAAAAAGTCTTTGCTGAAGTGTCCTCCAGTCTTTTCAGGTCATGATTAACTAAAAATTGTACAGCTTTTAATGCATTTATGTCTCTTGTCCATTTCTGGATCATTTTAATAAAAATGCCAAGTCAAAGTAGATGAAAGATGTAAGGTTTTGTGTATCACTTGGCCACAATGAAGACAGAATCTTTGTCTTTTGTGCCTTTTTTCAGCTTTCTTGGGCAACACATGGCCAGTGTTTGCTTTTTATCTGTATGTCACTGGGAATTCCTCAAAAAGTTCTTGTGAAGAATTGTATCCCTAAGGACCACTTGAAAGTCTAAATTATCTGTTTTACTTTTTCCATTATTTCTGGCATCTTTAAGGAATGGATGGGACATAATTTTCTTGCAGGAGAGATACAGCTAGGTCTCTTGATATTTAGAAGACTAAATTTGGAATTCACATGATGCTTTTTAGTACTCTTCCAGCCACAGTAGTAATTAGCTTGGAATGGACACACGAGATCAGTTTTGACATTATGTGTATCTTTCTTTATAGCCTTGGAAACTGAAGCAGAGTTGTTTCTTTGGTGTACTTGAGAGAGTTTAGTCTAGATTTAAATGTCCATGACTGTATTTCATAACTAGGAAATGTTCATGACATTCAGCTTAAGACATTGTAGGGAAATCAGAGTAAAGCTGTCTAAATCTTGCTTGTGTCTTTTATCTGCACATAACAAGCTTGTCTGTCCTGGTTCCGCATTTCTTCTTTGCTTTAGTTCAAAATACAACTTCCTGGTTTTGTTCCCGTAACTCCATGACTATAAACAGATAAATATTTTATCTCATGAAACTCTTTGCTAATATTTATTTGATAATGAGACAGCCAGAATGAAGATAACATTCTAAATAAATTTACAAATGCACCATTCCCCAACACAATTGCATTATTAGGATGATGATGGTTTTGATGGGGCTAAGTAAGGGATAGGACTAGGAGTTAATGGGATGTCAAAGTAAAAAGAGAAGGAAGAAATTTTTGAATTAGAACACAATTTTTTTCAGAGTTGGGAAGTGAGGACTGGGCATTCTGCCTCTGTGCTAAGGATTGCTGCATTAGGTGACTGCTGTTGGTGCAGAGGAGAAGGGGAGGATGCAGTTCTGTTGTTTACACAATATTTTTTTATGTTCTCTTCTCTGCCTGACAGCTGCCAAGTCCAGTTATGGATCACTCACAGCCATTCCACTTCTTGGTGACAGGCAGAGAGCAAAATACAAATTCAGAGTTGGGGAATCTCCCTTCCCCTCTGGATGATTTCCTGCTCTCTAGATGAGGAATGGTCTTTTTGTTCCCTGCCTGGGCTTCTCTTGCTCTCTCTGTTAAGTTTTGCATTGTTTGAGAAGATCCTTGTACCCCTACCCGAGTGAAGACATCTGAGCACTTCGATGCCATGTGCAGCTTTGTAAAAAATAAATCTTGTTCAGCAAGCCTACCTTCTTCTGAGGAGATCACAGCATTCTTTGATAACAGAAATTGTGTTGATACTGTTGGATTTCTTCAAGCCGTTTGATCTGTTACCAACAAGGTCTTAATTAAAAATCTTACAGCATAAGTAAGACTATCAGTTACCTTAAATTAAAAAGTCCTTCACTGTCAATTTGGAGACACATCAGTGAATGGGTCATTTCCAGTGCTGCTGCCCTCAATATGGATGTCAGTGTGGTTAAAGTTTTCTCATGAGGGCCTGCAACCGTGGGGCTTCTTCCAGATATCTCGGAAGGGCTTTGTCTTCTTCTTGATCAGGTGGTTGTAGGAGATGCCCCTTACAGTGTCACCTGCTCCAGTGCAACTCTCAGCATTTGGATGAAGCCTTACCTAGTGTGACAGCCTTCCAAGCTGTCATACTGTGCCATTCATAGACATTATCCCATGATACTTTTCATATTCCAGAAATGAAGTGTTGCAGCTGTTCCCTGGTTTCTGTTTCTGTTTGATAAGCCTTGCACATTTGTTTGCAGGCACATGTGGTGGGGCCTCTACATTGTGCTGCTTTTACAAGGAAATGGTGAGAGCGTCTCCCATCCTGCTATTCCCTGCACATTGCCCTCACTGCCCCCACTTATAATTTTTCCATTCTTTTGTCACTGTCAATAAATAATCAATGGAAATCAAGGGTAAAGGTGCATGATTTAATATGTTCTTCTTGATTTTTAGATTTTTGAAACATTTGCATTTTCACAATTGGAAAAAAAAGAACCCCTGACATCTTGAAAGACATTATCTTACTAACGTTAATAATAATCTATTCCAGTTATTCATATAATTCTAACCTAAGGTTTAACATACATAGCCCAGTATCCTGTCTTCACTGTGACCATACCACATACCTACAGAAGAATACAAACACAGGCAAGTGCAGTTCTTCTCCTCTATACTCTTCCAAACTGCAGCCATTTGCAGTTCAAGGAATTATATGCAGTATTATCTTTGTTGTATGTATGCTTTCTTAACATCTTATAATTTTTAATACCAGTTTTGTTATAGTTTTGAATACCCTTTCACTTTCATGTGGTAAGATGTCAAAGTGTGAAATAGAAATATTTATTGACGATTACTGCTGTTTCTACAAGCTTCTTAGAAATTTCATTAGATCTTGGGTTCAGTATCCTGCACACTAGCTGGAAAGCTATGACAACTATAGTACATGCTTAATCTTGAGGGCTGTGTAGGCCAGCAACCTGCTTCATCGTGTGCCTAGGAGTTCATGAACTGAAGCTATTTTCTTAGGTTCAGAATTTTTAATTGACTGCAGTACAGCATGATTAATTTCCTCTATGCAGAAGGAACTGAGGAATCTTGTCTTTTGTGTGTGACAGGATAAAAGCATTGGGGTATTTTGTTGGGTCCAAGGATTTGTATTCTGTGTGGGTAGGGAGTATTGCCTGTCTTTGTTCTGCAAGCTGTCTGGCAACTCCTTGATGTTTCCAGGGCAATGCTTGCTCTTTATGCTTCAGTCTTAAAAATGTTCATGTTCTTTTATTATTTTGCTGATACTAAGACTTTTTGAAAGGATATAAGCAGTTAAAAATACAGAGGTTTAGCTAAAGCTGAACAGAGTTTTTGGCTCCATGGTTTTTGCTTCTCCAAAGTGTCAGTCCTGCTGTAAATAGAGTATCTCAAAGAAACAAACAAATGAGGTTGAAAGAAGCATTTATTTGATAGTATTGATCAGTCTAAATACAGGAGAGAAGAACTGTTCCTCTTCAGGATGAAGAAGAAAAGTATTAAGGGAAATGTATGAGCAGGATGAAGAAGGTGCCTAAGGAATGCCTTCCAACTGCTGCTCCAACTATGCAAGAAGGTGGCATCAAATGAAGCTAACGGATGGCAGGTTGAAAATGAGCAAAAGGAGGTACTTCTTCACACATAGGTTCTAGAACACTATGCCTCAGGCTTTTGTAGGTACTAAAGGGCAACAACTTTCAAATGCTGTCAGAGACACAATGCTAGGATAGATGACAGTTGGGGTGACCTTGTGCAATAGTTCTTGTGTCCTTGCAGAGCAGGGTGAACAGGTGTATGCGTGGTGTCTCGCATAGGTGTTTGTGTCTTACATCAGATTAAAACTGTCGACTTCTGATTCTAAAGCAGAATAGGAATATGAACTACCTTTTAATTCCTATAGAAGTTTTGTAAAGGTTAAATATTTTAGTTATATAAGTGAAAGCTAGAATGAATATTGTAGAAATAGTCAAGGCAGTCCAGTAGATTTATTATAATTAGTTACAGTTCCTTTCTTTTATGGTTTGCCTGCATGACTTACTCCCAGTTAAGAACAGACTCTTTAATGTAAGGGTGTACTTTTCCATTTCCAAGCTGAGATCATTAGGTCTTCCACCTAACCTACTTCATATCACTTCCTCTGCTAACTTCTTTGGAAAAGGGGAAATAGAAATGGGGTTTGTTAATTGAACTAATGTAGCTTAACTAGTATATTGAAATATCAGTAAAAGTTGGCAAGATCCTAAGGTGACACCTTATAGCTGGTCATGTTGAAACTTTGATGTGAAGTTCAATTTCATGTCAGCCAAGAAGATGTGTTGACTAAAGGGCAGTTTTTACTTATGATGGATAACACTTGTTTTTAAAAAGTCAACATGAACATGCACCCTTTATTTTTAGTCTAGAGAGAACCAATACTTTTTTTAGTTTAAACAGGACAAATTTGCTGTCCTTTGTCTTGCTAAGAGCAGTGGCTCCCAGGCTGCCTGTAGCTAAACCTCACTTGAAAAAAAAACAACCAAAGATCCATGATTCAGACCTTGTGGATTCAGTTGGGTCTTCCAGAATTCATTAGCTTTAGTTCTGTGCTCCAGCTTTACAGTCATATGCTTCTATTATGCCACTGAGACCTGCCCCACTAATGGCGAACTGCTTTAGGGGTAACTCCTTGTGAGCACATCTGTCTAAGGTCTGGGAAAGTGTCGGTATTACTTCTCTAGAACATAGTAGATTCTTGCTTCTAGTGCTTGGATATTCCTTGCTTCCTTCTCAGATCCGGGAGCTGGTTCCTGAGTCCCAAGCCTACATGGATCTGTTGGCCTTTGAACGCAAACTAGACCAGACCATTATGCGGAAGCGTGTGGATATTCAGGAAGCGCTGAAGAGGCCAATGAAGGTACGTAATGAACATTTTATACATTAAGTTAGGGCAAAAAAAGTAATCCTTGTATTAAATGGTGGAATGATCTTCCCAGTAAAAGTCCTGTTAACAGGTCAGACAAAGCTCTTAAGAATAAGCAGCTGGGGAGCAGCATGCATAGAAAAGTGGTGGGGAAAATTCTGTGGATATTACCACCTCTGTCTTCTGAAAGGCTTTAATAAGGAGAATAATAGCTTCTGGATAAATAAACACTGGCTTTGGAACTTTTTATTAGAATGATTAAAAAGAAAGTAAGAGATTAGAGGGGTGTGCTAAAGAGATGTATTAAATTTCCCATTAGAACTCCGTCATAAGCTAAACTTGTGGAATAATAAAACATATAATGGGAAGAATGATTTACAGGAAAATTATTAAAGATCCTGAAAAAATGTACACATTCACATAGTCTGTAAAAGGATGATTTATGTAAGGAAAGAATGGATGGCATTTTCTGCAGTTTCTATTAGATTGAGCCCAGCACTTCACCATACATAACACCCTACTGAAATGGTCTTTTCCTAAGTTTTCTGAGTCTATTGATCACAGAAAAGTTTAGGTAGGTGGAAACTGGAAGTAATCTAATTCAACCTCCTGCTCAAAACAGGGTTGTCAAGGCCTTGTGGAATTTTGAAAATCTCTACGGATGGAGGTTTCACAGCCTCTTCAGGCAACCTATTCCAATGTTTGGCCACTTTCATTGTGAAGAATTTCTTTTCATTTCTGTGACTGTATTGAATGCTCATACTCATTCATATAGTAAGTCCTGTAGTATGAATAGCTTTGCAGCTGCATGTCTATTGTGAAGTAAAGCTGTCATTTTTGTCTGTACCAGAGTAATGGGTATCAGCCCAACTAAGATCAAGATTCCATTCTGTTTGTTACTGTACAGGTATGTGATAAGATGTGGAAGACTTCTACCTCTGATGTTTTTCCAGTTCTTATGTATGAAACAGAAAAAAAAATGGAAAGAGTTAAATTCCATTAATATATCTATTTATAGGTAGGAAGTGAAGTGTGGGTGCTTTAAATCCCCAGTTTGTAGTCAAAAACTGTCGCATATAATACATTGGACTGACTCTTGGAATAGTTTGCCTTAGCTTCTTAATGTCTGTGGAACACCATTATTTTAAACTAGCTAGGAACTTGGCTATGTTTGAAAGTAATAGAAGACTTAGACTTGCATTGATAAATCTGCAGGAAGATTCTTATTCTGTGGCAAACTCTTTAACTAGGGAGTTGACCAGTACATGAGCTTCCAGCTCTGAATATCCAGAGATGTCCAGGGCCCTGTAATGGGGAAGAGTCAGGAGGCACAGCACTCTACAGAAACTATAGACAGAAAATTCCATTTCCATCTAGGGCTCAGCAGACATTTTAAATATCAGTTACTCAGCTAGTTAACATCTAAAGAATGATCAATCAGATGTTTTTCAAATTCATGTCTAGACTTAGCATGTAGCAGCTGTGAAATTCAAGACCTGTCAAAAGAGAGCTAAGCCCAGATAATTTGAGGTTGTTATGATATTAAGTGTATTCATTTTATTATAGTTGGAGCATTAGTAACAGCAATAAAAGTTATCTCTACATTTCTACCTCCTATCAAAGCTTTTGTAATTTTGAAATATTTGCCTTAAAACAGTGGTTCCCAAGCTGGGATTGTAATCCTGGTAAAGATTTAAATTTCTCTGAGGCATGTGATAATATGTAGGGAATATGCAAGACTGCACCGAATTACCAGTTGTGATTGCACTTACCATATTGGTCACAGTGATTGCGTTGTAGCTAGAAACAGTCTTTGGCAACCACAGGTTTATGGTCTAGTGTTGCTTTTTTTCTGTGAAGACTAATTATTCTGGAGAAAATTTAAGGAAAATGTTTCAATCACTTTTGATTGAAGACAGTGCATAAAATTTGCTTGGCCTTTTGATCCTACTTGGACATTCTGTGAACAGTTGCTGTGTTGAAACAGATGACAGCTATGGCGTTGCTCAGAAAGCAAGGAGACTTAGGGCTTGTGAGGTTGGTTGAAGGTGCGGAAATGGCTTTCACCACCTGGCAGCTCACTTTATCACTTTTAGCAGCCCTTCTCAGCTCCCAGCTTATTCACTCCAGATGCTGCCTTGTCTTTTCTCTGCTTTTGGGTACTAGCATGTTCTCTTCTGTTAGTCCTGTGGCTTGGGCTACATTCTCGTCTGCAGAGTGGTATTTGCTGCATGCCACTCATTGCAAGTCCTTGCACTGACCTTATGGAAAACTCATGCACTCAGAATTCCATAAAGGACTTTTTAAGAGGGAGTCAGGCAGACAGGGCTGTTTGACTTCAGTGTGGCCAGAGGTACAGATATAGCAAGCTCCATGGCCTGAAGGAAACAGAAACCTCATGGCTCAACTCCAAACAAGTAGATGTCATTGAAGAAGAATGCATTACTAAAAATCTGGACAGCTAAGGCCATGGTGGACTTTGGGAGTGGGATTTATTTGGCTAAGTATAGGCATCTACATTGTATTTATTTATATGTAAGCTAGTCACTCTGGATTCCCTTTATAGTCAAGAGATTTAGTCAGTGTGGGCAGTGGCGTTCAGGGCACAGTACAGTAAACAGTAGTAGATGTTTAAAAGAATATAGATAAATCATGCCCTAAAAAGCACCTGTTTCCCTCCGTTGTCTAAGCCTGAGATAACTAGTTGTGGACATAAACATAATTTTAAGACTGAGATGATTTTCATATCAAGGTCACCTGGCTGAGAGCAGAGCATCTAGTGACTCATCCCACAAGCAAGGCTCCTGTTCCAAGCCCTGGCACCACAGATGATATTTTGTCTCACCCAAACAAGGGGCTGTCACTCTTTCACACTGAACTGGTGGGGGATATAGACCAGATCTGTGTGTAGTTTGAGTTCCTCAAACTAAATGCTCTTTCCCCACTTTGAGGTTTTTAAGATAACTGAGGAATTACTGTTGGATTGCTGGCAGAAGGAAAGTTGCATTTTGTTTTTCTGAAACAAAGGTTTCTGCATGATCCTCTACCCTCCAGGCAAACTGGTTGATTTATTTTTTTTTGCTCTGTATGCCTTGAGCCACAGCACACTCAGATCTGTATCTGAGTTCTAGAGTTCTGTTGTTGTAAGAGACTCTCATCTTTGCTGTGTGCTGAATTCTGTACCTGCAAGGGATATTCTTAGGGGCAGAAGAATGAATAATATCTGGGGATTTTTGTGTCATACTCTGAACCCTACTGGGATTGAGCTCCTGGAATCAAACCTGTACTCACTTCAGTCAGCAAATGCAGTTGGTATCATTTACTCCAAATTGAACAAAGCATTTTATTCATTCTTCATGAGATGTTATGGAAAAAGAGCTGGGGATTACTAAGGAAAATTTTAGGTGACTGAGAGCAGTGGCAGCTCTATCACTTTTTAGCTATTGTAGAGTCCCCTCTGTACTTTGATGTCTGTGGCACATGGGCAGTGTACTTCCTTTTCTGTGGTTGTCATGTTGGACTTGGTGCTGGCTGGGATTAAGTGGAGGAATTCCTGCTCTAAAACACTTGCCAACTGATTTGAAACATCATTAAAAGTGATGAGCAATAGAAAAGTCCTAGTATTGCTGCAGAAGTCCCTAGTGACATCTGACTTGTTAAAGCTGGAATGCAGTGTCAAAATGAATGGTTCAAACTAGAATGATAATGCAAAAAAGCGCTTCTGGAACAACCTAGAGAAAGGAAGATTCACCTTGTGTATGTCACTTGGCTTTTATATGTGAATACAAAAAGAAGAAAAGGGAGGGAATGGTAGTGGCTGCCTTTTAGATGGAGGGGAGGAAAAGTATCAACAGATAGGCTGAATGACAATGTTGGCACAAGAACAAACAGGGAAAAGGTGCCTGAATAAATGTAATTGTCAGAGAAGACTCCAAGGAGAGGGAAAAGAGATTTCATTTTTGAAATTGTATCTTCATTGGTTCTGAAATGATACAGACCTGTAACCTGGACTTACTGTTGCTGCCAGCTCGGTGACCCCAGACCCCATCAAGCACTACAGTGGTTTTCATAAGATATTTTAAAGCTCTTCAAGGTAAATGTCTGCACAAGCCATTTAAAGTAGAAATATGTTGAAGGTAAAACAGAATTTATGCCAATTAAAATTTAAACGCAACAATGTATTGAGGGAATTCTATTAGGAATTTTCTTGTCTTTATCATCAACGATAAAATTTACAAAATAAAGAAAAAAAAACAAATAGCTTGTAGTTTCCTGAAGTGTGAGGACATCAGTCTGCAACAGATACATCCTCTAATTAGTATGTGGTTATATGTACGGAGAGTTGAGTTGTCCTTAGTCTCAACATGTGTCACCTCAGAGTCAGTGGGCTTTAGATGAGTCCACCTCCTTCTGGGTACCCTGAACTTGGCCCTAGGAGTTCCCAGGTTGTCTTCTCTGGACTGATCTGGGACTTCTTACACATGTTATTATTGAGAGGACTGAGTTGCCAATGGGACCACATTAACATGTGTTACTGCATTTACTGGCTGGCTTACTGCCTGGATAGTTACTTATTGGCAGAGGCTGTGCCCACAACCTTACCATGCTATGCTGCTTTTAACTAGTTAGGACTGAATCAAGCCACTGGGTAAAAAGTTCCTCAGCCTTGACACAAACAAGCAGAGTGTGTGCATTCTTAACCCATCACAAACTAGCTGAAGTATTTGATGAGAACATGATAAAATCTTGCATGATCACCCTCCCTCTCCACATGCAGTGGCAATAGGAATTATGAAGCTTGTGTGGATCAGTGTCCTTATTAATAGTGACCAGTAACAGGATCACGGATTGGCTGGGGTAGAAAGGGACCTCTGGAGTTCATCTTGTCCACCTCCCCTGCTCAAGTAGGGCTACCTAGAGCTGGTTGTCCAGAACCTTGTCCAGATGGGTTTTGAACATCTATAAGGTAGGACAACCCATGGCTTCCCTGGGTA